CTTTCCCCCTTAGCTTGGAACCCCCTTGTCGCAAACCTTTTGTACTTTCTCTTTTTCTTGAGTGCTTTATCAAGGGGGGTTCCAAACGGGTCGCTACTCCATATGGGCTGACATACACGGTGAAAACATGTCTTAAATTTTCCTTACAAAGGTATGGGAATGCTTTTTCTCAGGTTTGCCAGGCCCCCCATATGCTGCAGCATTATCTGATTGATGTGTTTTCGGAGACATGCTCGGTGTTATACTCACCCCAAATCTTTCTCCTTGGGGTGAGGTTTGCAGTCTTGGCCACCTACCCCTATACTCTGTCTGTGGTCTTCGGGCCCCCCCCCCCTTTTTTCATGATTTTGCATTTGGCGGATTAAATTCAAAGCCATTTGCGGGACCGGTGCCAGTCTGCCAGGTTTCTTTGAAGTCCTCCCCGGGTCCTCATCGTTTTAATTCTCCTCATTAACTTCACATCATCTGCAAACAGGGACCTTCTGATTTTCCCTTTTCCCTCATGTCGTTCACATATTTTCCAAAAAAAGCACTGGTCCTAGGACCCACCCCCGTGGGACCCCCCCTCGTCACGGGGCCCACTGTGATACATCTTACGTACCATGTCTTGTTGCCTCCCTGTCAGGTATTCTCTGATCCATTGCAGTGCCCTTCCTTTATATGCACCCGGTGCTCTAGCTTTTTTGCAAACTCTTGTGAGGAATGTGTCAAAGGCCTTCTTGCGTCCAAAAAGATGCATCAACCCACCCCCTCTCTCTTTCTTTCTTTGTTATTTTTTTCAAAAATCCAGAAGGGTTTTTGACACAGGATTTGCCTTCCGTGAATCGGCTGGTTGGGGTTTTTACTCCTTTCCGTTCCAGGGCCCACCACTCTCCCCTGTAATCTTCTCCCCAAATTTTTCTACTATACACGTCAATGACACAGGTTATGTTTAGTGCCCTTTTTCTGTTCCTTTTTTAAAATGGGAATAATTTTTCCGTCTTCCAACCTCAGGGATTGCCCCGTTTCCAGGGGTGGTTGAAAAATTTGGAAGGGCACGCAAATATATCTGCTCCCTCTTAAAAGGGCCCCCCGGGGGGGAAAGTTGTTCTGGTCCCATGCCTTTTAGGGACGATGTCCCTTAGCATTTTTTTCACCCCCTCCTCTCTGTATGTATGTCGTCCAACACTTGTTGGTGTATTCCTTGCTGGTGTCCCCGTCTGGTCTGTCCCCCCAGAGTCCTTCCTGTCTCTACTGTAAATACTTCCTTAAATCTCTTGTTTAGCTCCTCACATACCTCTTGATCGTTTCTTGTGAGTTCTCCACCTTCTTTCCTCAGCCTTATCACCTGGTCCTTGACTGTTGTCTTCCTCCTAATGTGGCTATACAGCAGTTTCGGGTCAGATTTGACTTTCGATGCTATGTCGTTTTCATACTGTCGCTGGGCCTCCCTCCTTATCTGTGCATACTCGTTTCTGGCTCTTCTACTAATCTCCTTGTTTTCCTGGGTCCTATGCCTCCTGTACCTTTTCCATTCTCTGTTGCACTTAGTTTTTGCCTCCCTACACCTTCGGGTAAACCAAGGACTCGTTTTGGTCTTCCTATTATTTCCGTTTCCCTTGGGAACAAAACTTTCCTCTGCCTCCTTGCACTTTGTTGCCACATATTCCATCATCTCGTTTACTGATTTTCCTACCATTTCTCTGTCCCACTGAACCTCCTGCAGGAAGTTTCTCATACCTGTGTAGTCCCCCCTTTTATAGTTTGGCCTGTCCCCTTCAGTTCCTGTTACCTTCTCCACTTGTAACTCTACTATATAGTCAAAACTCAGAACCACATGATCGCTAGCTCCAAGGGCCTCTCATAAGTGATGTCCTCAATGTCTGAACTGCTCAGGGTTTGAACACAAGATCCAGTCTTGCTGGCTCATCCTCCCCTCTCTCTCTGGTTGTGTCCCTGACATGTTGATGCATGAGGTTTTCAAGTACCACATCCATCATCTTGGCTCTCCATGTTTCGGGACCCCATGTGGCCCCAGGTTTTCCCAGTCGATCTCCCTGTGGTTGAAATCGCCCATTACCAGTAACTTTGCTCTGCTCGAGTGAGCTCTTCTTGCCACCTCAGCCAGTGTGTCCACCATCACCCTGTTGTTTTCTTCGTACTCCTCTCTTGGCCTCCTGCAGTTCTGTGGTGGGTTATACATCACTCCAATGACTACTTTATGTTCTCCGGACTGAATTGTACCTACAATGTAGTCTCTTTCTCCAATCATGTCCATGCCTTCCATTTCCTCAAATCCCCATCGGTGTTTTATGAGCAGTGCAACCCCTCCTCCCCCTCTACTCCTTCTATCTTTCCTCAGGATCTGATATCCTGTTGGGAAGATTGTGTCTGTTATTGTCTCAGCGAGTTTTGTTTCTGTGACTGCTATGATGTCTGGGTGTGTGTGTGTGTGTGTGTGTGTAAGACAAACTATCACTGACTGGTGTGTCGAGTTTGTAATATTTACTATAAGGAAGTTTCCTGTGCTTTTCTTTAACCAGTTAATATAAATAATCGTTTGTGGACTTTCATGTTATTGCTGGCCTGTTGAAGGCAAGGCACAGTTCATCTCTTATCAGTACTAGTATGTAGGAGGGCACCCGCATATGGCGATAATTGCATGAACATTACCCACTGTTGAAAGTTTGAGCTGGATAGAGGAGGAGTTATGAAGCTATAAATGAAAACATTAGAGGAAGGAAAACACTGAAAGAAAAAGAAAAAATGAGGCAGCCGCTTAGTACCTCTTCCGGGATATCTAATTAACTCATGTCGTCGATAGGCTTAAAAAACAACCAGAACGCCAAGTAACCAACAATCCTGAAGTGTGTACAGTTGAATGAAAATATTGGTGGCATTCCTGATTAATTTAAGAGTTTTGCAATAATGGTAAACGAATGCCGACACATTGTTGATCAGTTCTTACACAATGAAACATTCAACAAGATAAATTTAACTTCCACTGCCTTCTCACCCCCGCCCCCTACTGTAGGAGCCTCAGGACTTCTCTACTTTTCTCACCTCCAGAACTGACTCAAACGTCTTCTTAATTTTTTTCTAAGTGCGGGTTTCCGGTGAATTGATTGTGTACTTGAGTTAAATCTGTTGATAACAGTGAATGTTAATAAGCAAGACATGTACGAATCTCGAGCCCTGTAACCAGAATTAGGCGAGTACTAGGCATTTTTTCTGACGTAACGTTCCGCCTGCACTGCAGGCTTCGTCAGTGGAATACAGAGATGAATCACACTCCTGAAGAGATCAGCCTTGGTGAAAGATGAATATAGAGGTAGTCTGAGGTAATCAGTCCATTATCCAAGGGTGACTGATGTCTTTAGAAGTGTGATTCGTCTCTGTATTCGATTAGTGAAGCCTGCAGCACAGGCGAAACGTTTACTCAATTAAAACTGTTGCACATGTGTCTTATTGACTTGTAGACATTATATATTCTTTATAATATGATCAATGTACGTTCGATGCATCACTGAGACACACAACTGGCGGTCAAGACCACACTGGCTCCCACAACCTACTTCCTGTGTCCCCATCTTGTACGCTCAGCCTGCAGCCTGGCCCAAGGCCAGGATTCGCGAGTAAAAAACTCTCGATACCGGTCACAGGCATGCGCATCTCTAGTTTACACCCTGCAGCATGTGTTTCTAGTGAGCGTCTAGGTTCTTCAACGTGTAGTGGACCTCACCCAAACACAGCACCACCAAGATATAATTGTTTGTCAAAAAACAGGACAAGTGTTTCCTGAACGTTGTCAGGAAACAGGACAAGTGTTTCCCGACGCGGGTCTTAGACACAGCACCACTATCCTGCCCCACTACGCTATATCAGACGCGTGCAGCCTCGTCACAGCACTCAAATTTATATCCAACTTTTCCCTGACTGTCAGAGGCGTCTACATCTTTTTCCCGATACTCTTCCTCTTCCCCATTTTCCTCTTCCCCCCCTTTCCCCATTGGTACCCAGTTCCCTCACACATTTTGACCCGCATCTGGCCTCTGAACCTTTCCCTCAACCATTCGCCTATTCAGCAATTAATGCGTCCACCTCTCAATATGTCATTTTTATAAATTGGCGCGCCATTGTTCATTTTCTATAGATGTTTGCGGTTGCGGCGCCTGCATTGAGGTGTATGGTGTTGCTCTCGCCAAGTTGTGGTCGCGGAGGTTGTCTCGCCTCCTCTCCTCGCCTGTTAACTATTAACTTGACCGGCGTTATTGCTTCCATGTCTCTTGCGACCTATCATACCTACTCTTGAAACTGTGTACAGTGTTTTGTTGTCTCCGCTTCCGTGTTGGCACCATTTATGATAATTTTGTCACTTTGTTTTCTGATTCCCTCTTTCCTTGCACCAGTATCTAGCTTTCTCTCTACACCAGTAACTAGCTTTCTCTCTGCACCAGTAACTAGCTTTCTCTCTGCACCAGTAACTAGCTTTCTCTCTGCACCAGTAACTAGCTTTCTCTCTACACCAGTAACTAGCTTTCTCTCTACACCAGTATCTAGCTTTCTCTCTACACCAGTAACTAGCTTTCTCTCTGCACCAGTAACTAGCTTTCTCTCTACACCAGTAACTAGCTTTCTCTCTACACCAGTAACTAGCTTTCTCTCTACACCAGTAACTAGCTTTCTCTCTACACCAGTAACTAGCTTTCTCTCTACACCAGTAACTAGCTTTCTCTCTACACACCAGTAACTAGCTTTCTCTCTACACCAGTAACTAGCTTTCTCTCTACACCAGTAACTAGCTTTCTCTCTACACCAGTAACTAGCTTTCTTCATCAGACTCTATCTTTCTCTTTTGTTTTCTCCTTTTGTGATGTAATTTTCGCTACTTTTGATGTATCGGTACCTTGATTCAATTCAGTTGTCCTTGCTTCTTGATCGTCTACAGTAGCACTGTATTCTACCCCATTGTTTCTTAAACGTGATTGTCTTTGCTCATTTTCGAATCCTCCTGGACCATTATGAAGACTATTACCAATTTATGGGTCAGTTGTTAGTTACTCCAACTACGACACCGTCAGTTGTAATCTTCATATCGTTAATAATATACCGTAATTTCAGGTAAGGGTTAGGACAGACTATCGTAACGGTAAATTGTTAATCATATTCAAGGGCTATTGACCCTGATACTTTACAGTAAAGCGTAACCCCGAAGTCTACCCATGACCCTGACCTTGAGCATATAAGGCACAGGTGATTTCCAAGACTTTTTGTGGGGTAAAAGCGTCTTATATGCCGGAAAATACAGTACCATTCATCTCTGCTGCTGCTGCTCGACACCGAGTGTGGTACAATGTCGACAGGTTAAGTTAAATGTGGTACAATGTCGACAGGTTAAGTTAAATGTGGTACAATGTCGACAGGTTAAGTTAAATGTGGTACAAAGTCTACAGATTAGGATAAATTGATACGCAATGCCATTGGAAATAAATTGTTTGAGTTAAGCCGTGTAATGATAAACAAGGGTATCAGTCGACGGTTAGAAATTGTACTAACTACATGGTCACAGTTAACGCTGCCTGGCATACAAAATGCCAGTAAGGTGCTTGAATGTAACTATGCTTGGCCTCCCGGTTAGGTCTGGCATACGGACATACCATCCCAGTCGCTGGAACACATAGGATCACAGAGCAGTTGTGGACATTGGGTCGAGCATCCAGCTGGAGTGTTCAGTGCAGTACGCCCAGGACTACCCAGTGCTGTGGGTGAAGCGAGGTGCTGGGGATGTTCAAGACCTGCCCATCTCCACGGGCCCTAGCCTCATTATCAGGGACTCCCGCTATGCCCTCAGACATGATCAAGGCTCGGCCACATACATCTTACAGGTAGGATTCCTTCAAAACAAGTGTGCTTCGTTTTTCTGCCTCAGTGATGAAAGATCTTTTTAACTCTCCTGTTTATGGTACTTTTCATTTTGGTGTTAATATTGTCATTGCCTTCAGTTTACAAAACTTGTCACATTACATTGTTGGGTTACCCTGATGTATATAACATTTACAATGTTAGATCAGTCATATTTTGTATCGTTTTACTGGGATATTCACTTGAGAAGTGACTTCCCAGGCGTCTGTGACCTGTGGTCACAGACGTCTCGCGATCACTTCTCGAGTGAATATTCTAAAAAATACACAAGGTTAGAGCAGGATGAGCTTCAGATTATATTCCATCACTCGATGATGTGTGTGTGGGACACTATTAAGATAGAGATTAATCTGTATAGAACTTAGTTGCTTAATTGTTAAAACCTCTCTATCTTTGTATTAATATATTATGTAGTTCTTTCTGTAGAATCATAGTTTATATTGTCATAAATTACATTAGGACCAAGATAGATATTGAAGCAATCGTGTCAAACTTTCGAAATACATTCTAAACTCATTACCGTCCCTTTATGAGAAAGTATGAACGGTCACAAAGAAAATTCAAATAAACTTAAACTTTAACTATAAAAAATATATTTTATATTTCAGAAAAACTGCTGCCGATATAAATTATAAAAGTGGCAGAAAATAGGTAAACTTTACACCCAGGGGACTTGTAGTGAGTGCATTTTTCTGTACAGTGAAGTCATTCACTAGTTAATGCCTGTGGTTGAGCTCAAACTTCTTCATCGTGATGAGTTAATGTAGTTATCGAAGTCATCTATGTGTCCCTTTTCAAGGCCACCATGATCACGTTTGCCAAAAGATCAAGCACTATCAAAAGAGTGCCTAAGATGATATGGGGAAGCAAGCAATCCACGTTCTGAGTGTATGTACTTACATCATTACTGTCTACGTTATAATATTCATCAGGAGACAAGTGTCTCCTGACACGGGTCTTAATCAGATAGATGACCAGTTTGCTTACTGTCGATGTTGCTAAACATTCTATCTTCTAAACATATTTAATGATAAATATGTTTATTGTGGTATTCTACTTTTGCAGTCCATAACACAACGTTTAGAGGAACTCGCAAACATTAAATTTAGAAACACTCCAAATATAATTTTTAAATGCACTTCAAATGTTAAACCATGATGTTCTAAACATAATATTAACAGGAACTTTCAAACATAATGTTTAGATACACTTTCAAACAGTGTTAAGAAGCCCATTTTAACATAATGTTAAGGCACTTTCTAACATAATGTTAAGGGAACTTTCTAACAATGTTAAGAGACACTATCTAACAATGTTTTAAAACGCTGGAACTTAATGTTTACAGACAGTCGAACAATGCCAAGACATTCAGGCACAGTGACTCACGAAATCGTAATGACATGATTGTAAACAAACCATACCACGTGACATCTAGTGTTATCAGTGACAGCCAGTGTTATCAATAAGTGTTATCAGTGACAACTAGTGTAATGACAACCAGTGTTATCAGTGACAACTAGTGTTATCAGTCACTAATGTTATCAGTGACAACCAGTGTTATCAGTGGGGTATTACAAGGTGTTTAACAACCTCGAGAATACTACAGCTCAGGTTAACACAACACAAACTAGTGGGGAACACGCTGTTAAGGTTCACTTTGTCCTTATACCAGCATGAACATCATCTTGGGTCACACTACCGTGGAGTGATCCTTTCTCGGTGAAGACACTTGTTTTGTAAGGTTCATTTGTATCTTAAAACTCTTCGTATACAATGTTTTGCTGCTGATAAATCATGAACGTAAATTATTTATTATCACACTGTTCTTACATGTTGTATTATAACTGCAGATTAAGGACATCCAGGAAAGTGATGGTGGGGACTACATGTGCCAGGTGATCATTGGTATCAACAACCGCATCACTGCCAACGTCAATCTCCTGGTGCGCAGACCTCCAGTCATTTCTGATAACTCAACTAGGTAAGTCGCTAAAACCCTATAGAAATACTAAGCTTAAAGCAATGCTTCAGCAGAGCGACCTTTATTGGACATTTCATCCTTATATGACATTTACAGAGGAATATTGTTGAAAGTGGTATAAAATTCCGATAAGTTTAAGATTAAAACACACGTGCAACAATTGGGTATCTTTACTGATGAAACGTTTCGCCTGCACAGTAGGCTTCTTCAGTCAAATACAGAGGGAGCAGGTGTAGTAGTGAAATAAAGATGTAATCAGTCCATCAGCCTTGAAGAAAAAAATTAGAGGTTGTTAGTCCCTCAGCCTGGAGATTTCAGCTCCATGGTCTGGAACGATTTCGTTCCAGACCATGGAGCTGTGTGTGTGTGTGTGTGTGTGTGTGTGTGTGTGTGTGTTGCATAAATGGGGAGAAATCAGAATGGGGGCACGTCACAAGCGGTGTTCCTCAGGGGTCAGTGTTGGGCCCGTTGTTGTTCACAATTTACATAAACGACATAGATGAGGGAATAAATAGCGACATAAGCAAATTTGCTGATGACACCAAAATAGGCCGTCCAATTCATTCTAATGAGGACACTAGAGCACTCCAGGATGATTTGAATAGACTGATGCAATGGTCAGAGAAGTGGCAGATGCAGTTTAATATTGACAAATGCACAGTTCTAAATGTTGGACATGTTAAATAACCATGCCACATATAAACTAAATAATGTAGATCTTAATACTACTGATTGCGAAAAGGATTTAGGAGTTCTGGTTAGCAGTAATCTAAAACCAAGACAACAGTGCATTAGTGTTCGCAATAAAGCTAACAGAATTCTTGGCTTCATAGCAAGAAGTATAAATAATAGAACTCCTCAGGTTGTTCTTCAACTCTATATATCCTTGGTTAGGCCTCATTTAGACTATGCTGCTCAGTTCTGGTCACCGTATACAGAATGGATATAAATGCTCTGGAAAACGTACAGAGGAGGATGACAAAGATGATCCCATGTATCAGAAATCTTCCCTATGAGGATAGACTGAGGGCCCTAAATCTGCACTCTCGAAAGGCGTAGAATTAGGGGGGATATGATCGAGTGTATAAATGGAAAACAGGAATAAATAAAGGGGATGTAAATAGCGTGCTGAAAATTTCCAGCCAAGACAGAACTCGCAGCAATGGTTTCAAGTTGGAAAAATTCAGATTCAGGAAGGATATAGGAAAGTACTGGTTTGGTAATAGAGTTGTGGATGAGTGGAACAAGCTCCCGAGTACAGTTATTGAGGCTAAAACGTTGTGTAGTTTTAAAAATAGGTTAGATAAATACATGAGTGGGTTTGGATGGGTGTGAGTTGGACCTGACTAGCTTGTGCTGCTGAGTCTGGTGCAGTGCTCCATCCTTGATTGGAGATGACCAGTCTGGGTGGGTCATTGGGTTAATCTGGGGGGGGGGATATGGACCTGCTCCGCATGGGTCAGTAGGCCTGTTACAATGTTCCTTCTTTCTTATGTTCTGATATATATATATATATATATATATATATATATATATATATATAATATATATATATATATAATTATATATATATAGATATAAAAAAATTTATATATATATACTTTCTTTCAACACACTGGCCGTATTCCGCCGAGGCGGGGCGGCCCAAAAGGAAAAACAAAAGTTTCTCCTTTTACATTTAGTAATATATACAGGAGAAGAGGTTACTAGCCCCTTGCTCCCGGCATTTTAGTCGCCTCTTACGACACGCATGGCTTACGGAGGAAGAATTCTGTTCCACTTCCCCATGGAGGTAAGAGGAAATAAACAAGAACAAGAACTAGTAAGAAAAATAGAAGAAAAGCCAGAGGGGTGTGTATATATGTGTTTGTACATGTATGTGTATTGTGACTTAAGTATAAGTAGAAGTAGCAAGACATACCTGAAATCTTGCATGTTTGAGACAGAAAAAAGAGACACCAGCAATCCTACCATCATGTAAAACAATTATTGGCAGGACGATAGTACCTCCTTGGCGGTTGCTGTCTACCAACCTACTAATATATATATAATATATATAATAATAATATATATATATATATATATATATATATATATATATATATATATATATTATATGTATATATATGTATATATATATATATATAATCAACACGTCGGCCGCTTCCCACCGAGGCCCTTCACCATCGCTCATACATAATCACTGCCTTTGCAGAGGCGAGCTACCAATATCTTCAACCCGTCCTTTAAAGTACATTAATATACTCCCATTTCCAGGACTCGGTTTTTTCTAGTCATAATTCCTGTTACTTTAATTAGTTGATTGTTGACGCTTGTTATCAACTATAGTTTTCACTCCTCGCTCTTATAATATACATTACTACATGTTAATTAACCTAATGTTAATTAATTTTAGCTGTGTTCCTGCACTTGAAGCTATGTAAAAATACAATATTTTTTTTAATATGAATTGAATTTCATCTGTTACTTGTGTTTCATTCTCCGGAAGCTATTGCAGCTTTATTATATAGTAACTCAAAAATGATAATACAAAATATTAAACGCTTATACAATAATAAATAAGATCATTCCAATAACATACAGATTGATCAAACAGAAATATTAAATGCTGAGGACTGTCCCCATAATATCTGTTCATTACACAAATAACCCGCACATGAGAAACTGAAACTTGTGACAACGTTTCGGTCTGACTTGTACCATTAACTAGTGACACACACGAAGGTAAGGGAGCCGGATATATATATATATGAGAGAGGAGGTGCAGGGACGGTATTGTTACAGTCACGGTTTTGTTACAGTCACGGTATTGTTACAGTCACGGTGTTCTGCCTTTTTTTTCTATTCATGTCTATTCATTGTATACCCATAGGAAATTGATCCTTTTAATTATTCAAGTGTTTTCGAACTTCTCTCCCTATTACTCACTTTCAGGTCTGTGGTTGCAAGTGAGGGAGACAGTGTGGAGTTATCTTGTTACGCTGGTGGAATGCCCATCCCAGATATATCATGGAGGAGAGAAAACAATGCTATCCTCCCTACTGGCGGCTCTATTTACAGGTTAGAGTAAATCCCTTTTTTTTTCTCACAAAATTGTGTTCGATGTATAAGTCAATCTTCACATGTTTGTAACTTTGTCATGGTTAAATCAAGCCTCTGTTTATTTGGTTCAGTCTTATTTATAGTTTTGTTAGATCTGCTTTCGATAGGATATATAATATGCAGTGACGGGATAGTTGTAATATTGACAGGTGCTGTATGTGTTAGACATGTATGTGCTGACAGGTATGCGGTGACAAGCATGTATTAGAGACAGGTATGTGCTGACAGGCATGTGTAAGAGACAGATATGTGCTTTATGTATGTGTCTGTCCATATACCTGTATCGGTCCATGCACCTGTCTCTCTCCACACACCTGTGTCGGTCCCCACACCTGTCTTCGTCCCCATTCACCCTACATGAACAAAAAATCTATATTTCGCAATAATTTTTTTTAGGTTTTGCAATAATTTTTAGAAAATTTCAACTTTCTCCTAAATTAAGATTTTTTAATTACGAAAACGAAGGCATCAGAGTGAAAGGGGCTTAACACACACACAACACACACACACACACACACACACACACACACACACACACACATTGGATGCTATGGTTCACCACCTTCACTAACAAACACTTGCACATGCACATAGGGGCAATGTGCTGCAGATCGCCAACATCCGCAAGGAAGACCGTGGCACCTACTACTGCATTGCTGAGAACCAGGTTGGTCGTGGTGCCAGGAGGAACATTAATGTCGAAGTGGAGTTCGCTCCGGTGGTTCGAGCAATACGTCCTCGCGTCTACCAGGTCAGTCTGGCTGCTCTTAAACACTAAAATTACCTATGTGTATTGTTTTGTAAACTGACGATTATAAATTATTTTTTTCTGATATCCATAATAGTAATGTTATTTATAATGCACTCTGTTAATACATTAGTGTAATATTTAGTTATGAGAGGAAAGTATTCCCCAGCTACAAATAATAAATATTTAAATCACCGATTTACGTTTATTTTTTTTAGCAGTTCTCTGGTAAACATGATTAATTTTTATTTTCTCATCAAGGATTTAAATATATAATTTCTGAACCCGTTTTAACGCTGATTCCAAATGTGTTATTTTTTCCAGCACTTGTAGTTTTCTAGATATGACTGTTTTTTATATATATATTTTCAACAAGATTTAAGACGAAGTGGCAACAACACTTCTCACACACTGAGTGTCCGTGGTTCAATCCCCGGTATGGGTGGAAACGTTGATCATGTTTCTTTAAACCTGCTGTCCCAGTCGACTAAATTGGGTGTTAGTCGACTGGTGTGGGTCGCATCCTAGGGGACAAGATTGAAGGACCACAATGGAAATAAGACTGACATCCCTAGATGAGGCACTGACTTTCTTGAAATTATCCTGGATGACTAACCCTCCGGGTTAAAAATCCTAACAAACCTTATAAGGATAATCACTCATAATTTAAAGCCTGTGGAACTCCTTTTAAAAAGAAACGTTCAAAAACTTGAAAATAATGAACGTACAATTTTCTTTTATAATCTTTGATGGTACGACATCCAGCAGTAGTCTGCCTTCATACTTTCATTCCACAAACCATATGACTAGTTTCAGCTCTGGTAACTATCGGCTAATGCTCATTCTAGTTTGAGGTTCTAATTAATGGTCGGCAGAAGCCTTGAGAATTGTTGGTGAGCCACCGTCATCCCTCCTCGGGCGACGCTCGAGTGTGTCTACGTTGACACCTGATTTATCATGTACATTAATCAACGGTGGTGAGGAACAGTTAGCCAAGCCATCTTTTCTATCCGCTGAGAAGCCACAGGATGGGATATTCAGCCACGGGACCCATTCCTGGTCCCGAACACAAGAGGATACCACATCGTGTGTCAGTAGGCTGCTGCATCATCCTTCTCTCCATACGTCTCCCCCAAGTCTCTCTCTCATTGCCTACAACTTTCACTTATGAATTCATCAGCATACACAAACAATGCCGTTCATTAGCTAATTCGGGCAGCCGACAACGAATCCGATCAGTCGGGTAAGCCCTAACTGTAGTAGGGAGCCTCACTGAAAGGTTCACCTCCCTTAAAAGCCCAACATAAAAGCTTCTTATAAAACGTTGAAGAATTAGGCTAAAAATATTTGACCAGTCTTGTCTCGAAAACTGTGCGGTAGAGAAAAATCTAAAAGCAGTTTTGGAATCTGGTGTTAAAAAATCTATATAGCCCAGCAAAAATGATCTCTGATGAATTTTTGTTGTTGACAAATGGATATATCCGAAAAATTCTTTTTTTTAGGGGGGGGGATATTCTCATCAGCCTTCAGCTGCTTAAGAAGAAGAGTGATGGTTCATGTACTCAGCTATGTTTATCAGTTTTGTTTAGAAAAGTAATTTTAAAGAGCGATTAATTTCTGCTGTATATTTCAGACATTAATATTTTGGTGAAAAGGACACAAAAAAAAAAAGTTCGCGAACATCAACAAAAACAGACTTTGTCTCAGTTGCAGCGGAGGTCTTTACTGGTACAACGTTTCACCCAGGGCTGGTGTTTATCAGGTACCCTCATAGGCGATATGTTGTACTGGTACTCTACTGTTTCTAGTGTCTTCTTCACCACCTGTTGCCCTCCCGCCTCTATCCGCAATTCTATTTCCAGGCTCTGCAATACGACATGGATCTGGAGTGTCACATTGAGGCATATCCACCAGCTGCGATTTCTTGGGTCCATAAGCAGGAGTCCATTGTTAATAACCAACATTATAGGTGGGTGCAACAGCCAAAACTGTCAACCATTCGTTAAAAACTTATTCAAAATATTACCACTTGTGTACTTTAGTAACATAAATCGTGAAAAGTCATGAGATCAGAGTCAGGACTGAAGATGACAGTCATAGGGTGTTTGAATATCAACCAAATACGACTTTCAGAAGCACAGGGCTTCTCTCTATTAAATGGCCATGTGTGAACCTTGAGTGTCAAGTCACACAATCGTGTTTCCCACATCTGAATTTGATGAAGGAAGGCCGATCAGAAACATAATTTAGTTTCAATTAATAAAAGGCTTTTTGTAAATTAATTTAAACTAACGACTGTACAACCTCGAATGCGTCAAGGCATTACTGTACAGTACTGAAAAATAGTCGGAAAAGAGTAAAACACCTATAGGGAATATGAAGGTCCTGAACCAAGGACAGCATGCAAAGTACATAAGTTCATTACCCTGAATGCCAGAATATTCAGGGACCCACCACAAGGCTTGCTGGAGAGGTGACACAGCCAGGCTGGATGCGAAGGATGATGGGATGTGAGAACTTAAAACTTCAAATAGTTTGTAACGCCTCTGAAAGTCCGAGACTACAGCAGAAGAGGCGGAAAAAGAAGTGATGTGGATGACAGCAGCAAGAAGTGCAAATACTTGCTATCTCCGAGAAACGTCCTGGGATCGTATTATCAGGAAAAATAGTACTAAATCATCAGTCTACACACTGGTAGTACGTAAGTGCTATTAAAAATTGACAGGGGAAGATGGAGTGTGTATTTATAGTGAGGATAAAAGATTTTGAGAATAGAGGGACATACACGGACCACTAGAACATCTTAAGGTGGGAAGGAAAAATAATTAACAGGGTGAAGAGAGAGCAGAATTATGTAGAGGAACACAAGATTCTGAACGCAGCGATGAAGGATGTAATGATGAGGGACGATGATTGAGGGCATTAATCAGCTTTACTGACGATAGTAATGTAATTCTGTAGGTCGCAGGATCAGAACAGACTGTGAAGTGAACTGGATAACAGATATAATGCGATCTCGCATTTCGGGAATATTAGACTTGACTTATAAACCTTCAACTGGGAACGAACGAAAATTTCCCAGACACCAATGAAATCTCACATAACGGACAACGTCAAGTTTGAAACGAACACGCACTTAGGCAAAGCAACGTACGTACTAATGGAAAATAGGAATAAATAAAGGGGATATAAATACACAAATAACCAAGACAGGCCTCGGAGCAGTGAATTCAATTTAGACAACTAATACTGAGAAAGAATATAGGGAAATACTCGTTTGGAAATTGAGTTGTATTATTATTATTATTATAAAAAGGAAGCGCTAAACCACAAGGGCAAATTGAGTTGTAGCTGAGTGGAACAAATTTCCAGATAACATCAGTGAAGTGAGCACCTGGGTAGCTTTAAGCTAAACGGACATATGAGTGGGTGTGGTTCATTATGAACTTAACCTGTGGAGCATGGGCTAATAGGCTTACTGTAAAGTTCAGTTTCCTTTGTATTCTTATCTTAAGCCTTGAGGAGCTTAAATACCAAAGTCTTTCATAATTCGTATCAAAGAAAATGTCATATACATAACAAAGAGTTAATGTGGGTCCTACAAAAGTTGTTTGATCTTAAAGAAGCCTTCCCAGTTTTGTTGTAGCTGCAGTTCGCGACATTTGGTTGTTTAGTTGCAATATACGAGTCCGCATTTCAGCACCAGATGGCACTGATCAGCCAACAGGTCAAGTTAAGTCGTCCGATCGGTGAACATAACTTGCTTTTCTTGCCTTTGACGCTCAGCACAAGAATCACTTAATGACGCATTGTAAAACAAATTTTAATGAAAACATCGTAAACTACAGCTGTATTAGTTCAGTCATAGTTGACCCCATTGATGTTTGATCCAACGACACCAGCACGTAGCCTTAGTGAAATATAATTTACTTCTATTATATACCATAGTCTTTTCTATAAAACTTAGTTTATGTACCTTTGTTCCCTTATATAGCATTTTAAAATATTGAGGAACACTAGGCTATGCTAAAGGTTAAAATAATCTCATCTATTTAATCCAGTGCTCTGTAAATGTCAGATGTTTTCTCCGAAAAATAAGATTCATTTATATTTATTTACTACCAATGCAGGCCTGGCAAAATATCAAAATTCTGCCACACAGTGCTTGAATTAACTAAAAGTATAAAAGTGAGGGCCATCCCCTAGCCTCATCTTTGCCCACTCTGTCCTCTGATCGTAGTTGCGGGCCTGACTGAAGGACTGGGCAGAACTGGAAATTATAATTTCGATGAAGACTTCGCTTGATCATCATTAAGTACTGTCGAGGCTGACCCAGAGAAATCATGGATTAGTGAGGCCTGCAGGGCAGAGAGAATCGCCCACGTCCCTGGGAGGGAAGCCGAAGTTACTGAGTCTTAGACTGCATAGGCATCTGAGCAAGCTCCAGGCAGTCATTCACCGAGTGGAGGTCCACAGGAAAAGTTGTCGAAGAAGAAACAGGAGAGGGTCAAGAACTAGAAGACATAAAAAAAAGAGAGAAGAAATCGTTGAGAATGAAAGATGAAAACCCACAGACATTTCGCATAGTGCCTTCAATCATGACCAGAAGTGCAGCCTCGCAGGAAGCAACTTCCTACCCTGCCAGGTGTGCACCACCTGCATGACATCTCCAAAATTAGTTAAGCAGGGCATAACAAAACCACCTGTTTATATGAAAAGTATCAATGGAACCAACATCATTCAGCTAATAATGGCAGAGGGAGAATTGAAATAAACACCAGTAGTTGTAAATGTTCAATTGCCACTCCTGGATCAGAAAGCAACCTCCAGTAGTGCTTCCACTGCCAGACATCCTGCTGGTTGATCACCTATTGTCATATCAGGAGGCTACCCTAGTTATGCATATATACAAAGTAAACAAATCGCTGCACCTGGAAATAGGACAGTCACTTAGAAATCAGTTAAAGTTTGACAATCACCAAACCGCAGTACGAACGTGTGAAACAGCCATTCTTTGTAATATTGTCTTTTATACGCACAATGTGTTTGTTAGTTGAAAAAGCCAGAAACGCGACTCATTTTAAATTGGAGATTTGTAAATAGTTAAATCATAATATACTTGCATATATTCATTCCTCTCTATATATTTAATCCACAATGTTAGTCTAACATGTTTAATATCTCATTACACAGGGTGTCCCAGTTTGCCAATGCAGATGAATTCACAGACACAACTCTCCGTGTTTTGACTATTGAGAAACGTCAGTTTGGTAATTACTCGTGTATGGCCACCAATAAACTTGGTCAGTCATCAGCTACAGTGCTGCTCAGCGGTAAGATTGATTAATACATTTAAACCTTATAATCATTACTTATAATACTGTACTTGGAACTACAGTACGTCCAAATTAATTTGTACTCATTAGGATTACAGAATTGATTCTTAACTTTAAATCGTGTGTGTGTGTGTGTGTGTGTGTGTGTACAGTGGAACCTTGACTTATGAGTTTAATGTTCCAAGAGCTAGCTTGTAACTTAATTTACTCGTATATCAAATTAATTTTCCTCATTTAAATTAATTTAAAAGCCATTAATCCGTTCCTGCATTCTGGAGAGATGAGAAAAAATACTTGAATATGATGCTATTATCAACTGTACGGCTTATTTATCTATCACAATTCATTTAATATGACATAATAAACAATATAATGAATAAGATAGGCCATAATATGGTGGCAGTGGCAGAAGCATCTGCTATTTCTATCCCAATTTGACTACAGTAACTTACACACTTGAAGCAGAGATGGTGGGGGAGGATGAGGGTTGGGGAATGTTGAGGGTGGGGGATGTTGAGGTGGGGGGATGTTGAGGTGGGGGATGTTGAGGGTGGGGGGATGTTGAGGGTGGGGGATGCTGAGGGTGTGGTGTATGATGTATTGCCTGGTTAAGTCCATGGAGATCATCGTCTTTTTCTTCTCAGCACTTATTTTCTTAGGACCCATGGTTAGAAAAAGAAAGTTGGCCAAATGACTAAAAAAAATGCAAACAGCATGAGAGAACTGCTCCCACAGCGATGTAAATGTGTACTGCTTACCAGATGGTTTTGGCATCAGCTGTGCCAACTAGCGGCAGTATTCTGAATTATTATTACGTACATATTATGTATTATTAATTTAGGGAACTGAAGCTCTATCATTATTATAATAATAATATTATTATATTATTAATTTAGGGAACTGGATCACAGATCCAATTCCCTAGATCAAGAGCCCCTCACCAGGGGCTCTTAATCTAGGGAATTGGATCTGTGCTCTAGTTACCTAAATTAATAATAACACTAATAATTATTATTATAACGAACGCTGCCAACTCGGTGCACTGTTTACCTCGCTATGGGAGCAGTTCTCTCATGCTTTACTTACACTTTTGACAGTCATTTGGCCAAATTTCGTTTTTCTAAGCATGGTTCCTAAGAGATTAAGTGCAAAGAACAGTGCTGAGAAGAAAAAGAGAATGATTTCCATGGAATTAAAACATGAAATCATAGATAAACAAGCAAGGTGTACAGGTTTTGGGTTGAGGGGGAAGGGTGGGAGCTGGCTCGTAACTCAGAGCAAAAAATCGATCCAGGGACAGCTCATAGACCGTTGTTTAACATGGAAGTTACGTTCCAGAAAATGCCGTTTTAATTAAAACTGTGTTAGGCAACCTGAAGAACCTATTGGAAAAATAGGGTTACGTTCTTGGGAGCCCCCAAAAAGCCAAACAACGTTTTTTAGACCAGATCTTAAAAAAATAAAAGTGAATATGTAATTGTAGTTCATTGTCATGATATATTACTGCTCAAACCCACAAAAAAAAA